CATTATTTACAGTTGGAATAATGCCCACTTTGTTGTTATCACAACATTTTGGCCCCTGTGTTTTCAAGTGTCTGTTAATCCAGAAGAAGAGCCTAGAACAAGTGGTTCCTAAACCTTTTTTTTTTTTTTTTCTCTGGGCTGCATTTTTGAAATGAAAATTTGCTTGTGCATCATCAAATTTCATGAGATAAAAATTACTATTAAAAATAAAAAAACAAAAACAGAGAGGATTAAAGGGAGATAACTGCAGATTAGAAGTTAGAACATTTTCATTGATAACTCTCTCCTCCAATTTGCAGACACTAGTTACTATATTCTTAATACTTGATATAATGCCAAAATATCACATTGATAAAATCGGTCAATAATTTTTTATAACTATTTATATTGGGACTCATGTATGCAATTACATGTAATCCATAATAGTGTTTTAAATTTTGAAATTGTATTCATTTTTGGCATACAAATTCTTTGACAATGTTTCTAAATCTTTAATTGTCTTTCAATCATTCCATCTCACCTGCTATCCTCTTACACCACACCTATAATGTATGCTACACCATTTAGGAACCACTGGTCTAGAGGATTGAAGCATTGGTGTGTGAATTTGGTGGTATAGTAATTGTGAGTTCAATCCCTGGGCTGGTTAGTATAGATGCTGGCTCAATGAAAACAGGGCAAGCAATAATTGAGCAGTACTAAAAAGAACCAAATGAGATATCCCAAGATATGGACCACAAAATGAGAATAATCTACATTCATTGATTAAGGGTAGAGCTTGAAGAAGGCCAGAAAATACAACAGACAAAACATAACAAAGATGAAGATATTAGGCTGACTGAAATAAAGTAAATAATGTTAACATCTTTCAGCTGGAATGTTTGTTTGTTTTTTTTTCTTTTTCCCTGTATTAAAGGAGTTTTAGTGAGAGAAATTTTATTGATAAAGTTAAAGATTATACATATTCCCTCATATGAATACATAAATTTTTAATTGCAGTCGTGCCCAATATATTGCCAGGATACTGTGCATATCAAATCCAATTCTGTTTCTCGGCACATTTAGCTTCCTACTTTAAAAAGCTTCTTTGTTTAACCATAAAATATCTGGCAACAGGTCCTCCATAAACAGAAAAAATGACAACTTGCAATTTGTTAGCTACAGGTTATCTTTACCCTCACTAAACTAGTTAGGGATCCCCCACTGTCTGCAACCAACAGTGTCTGAAGAAACTTTTATTTTTTGTTTTTTCCTAAAATATATTGCCTTCTTGGATTAAGTAATAAGCCAAATAAACACCTGCAACATCTCAGTGCTCTGCAGAATTATTTTTTTCTTTATATAGCTTTAATCCAATCATTAATAATTCTAAAATAATTTTTTTCTTTATTCAAATTTTTTATTTATATTAAAATTTCAAATACCTTTTTTTTTGACTTCAAAAACCCAATATGAAATGTTTTTTTATCAAAATTTCTTATATTCTTTTCTAACATTCAGAAATATCTTTCTTGCAAACAGATGCCATTCAGTGTATGACTGTAGTTTTTTTTTTTGTTGTTCATATCCAGGTAAGAAAAATGTATTTGTAAAAGCAATTTCACTGAATAATTTTTTTTTGCCTAAGATATTTTATATTTTTATATAGTTAAAAAATTGAAATTTATATATCAATCAAAATGACAAAATTAGTTAATTGACAAAAAAGAAAAAATTGTAAAAAAAACAATTTTCATTTTACCTTAATGTAAGAAGTTGTGTAGATCAAATTTAAATATATAATGTTATGCATTACTCAGTGGGAATTGAAACTTGAAAAATTTTGTTACATTGAAAATGCATGAGATAACTTAGTTTTGTATCATCTTATTTATTATAAAATGCAGATGTGTGTGTGTGTCTGTATGTTTATATTTGGATCGGATTTCCTACATTTTTCAACCGATTTCAACAAAACTTCACAGGACTACATAAAATTACCTTTGCGGTGGTTCTGACAGCACCAAAAATTGGAAAAAAACACAATTGTTTTTGCACAAAATCAATTTGAAAACACGATTAAGAGGCATTAATGAAAGGGGGACAACTCATATCGAGTTATACTTATTAATATTGAAACCCAAGGTTTTTTATAAAACCCAGGTTGTTGTTTGTGTGTTCGTTTATATATGGGATTGGATTCCTACATTTTTCAACCGATTTCAACAAAACTTCACTTTTTTTTTTTTTTTTTTTTTTGGCAGGTAGTGTTTCTTATTGTCTTGCACACTTTTTTTTTATTTTTACATTCAGAATGCTTTAAAAATTCCATTTACAAGACAATTGTTTATAATAAAATTCTATTCAATCGGTAGACTCATAACGATTGAAAAACAATTTTTTTTTGTTTGGGTTTGACCAATTCGTAAAAAAAAAAAAAACTAATTAAGACATGCGTGTCCGTCAACCTTAAGCAATAATCTTTGTCAATTTTATTTTTCAGTCTTTATGATGGTCGATACTTGATCTATCTCTTACTGTTACATCCCCAGGCAACGCTGGGCTCTACTGCTAGTAATAAATATTACCAACTATGAGTTGTCTTGTTTTTGTGGCTTTGCCATCAAGGCTACAACAACATTTTTTTTTTTTTTTTTTTTGCTTTTAACACAAATAACTGGTACCTGGCATCTCAGGAAGGAATGATAAATCGTACTGGCAACAAAATCAAACTTTTTATGGGAAAAATATATTGAAAATATAACACAAAGTATTTGAAAAGTTGGCTATTATGAAGTTGGTGGTTGAAATCAGATTTCATAATCAAAAGCCAATGTGCGGGTTGAACTAAGAACTTTTCAACAACACCTCATATTAATAATTTAATTAATTAAATTGGCTTTAATGAAAACAGCACTTGCCACCATTAGTATGAAAGAATAATTTTACTCTCATAATCTTGTGTACTTCAGCAAGTGTGTGTGAGTAAAATATGAAAGCCAAAAGTGCTCAAAAGACATGGAACAATTAGTGCTCAAATTCTCTCAAGAAACCAGAAAATGGATCAAATTGAAAAAAAAGAAAGAAATCCTAATTAAAATCCTTTTTGCTAATTTTTCAACCAAATCTGCATAAATGAAAAAATCACTGTCCCAACACACACACACACACACACACACACACACATATTTATAATTATGTAATAATTAAGTAACCAATAATAACTGATTGAAAAGTTAACAAACAAAAATTTTAAAATATATACAAATGGGTTGTATTCAGAAAAATCAACTCTTCTACTGAAATACTTTTTTTAGAATAATTTGAAACTTAACTGTTACCACCTACCATTAAGATAATGCAAATAGACCTTGTTACCCATAATGCACCATTAACCAGCATATATATATAGCCAAGCCAAAACACAACTCACATGGACTGAAGATTGTGTAAAGTTTTTGATAAAGTTTTGTTACTGCTTGGTGTTTTATATATATATATATATATATATATCTGATAGCATGGAAAAAGTTTACATGTGATGCCTTTTTTCCATAAAATTGTTCTTGATACATAAAAATTGATATATCATTTTCCCCACATCCACATATATATTTTTTTAAACAGACAAAACTACATATTCTTTCCACTAAAAGGTAACCTTTTTTTTCAGATGGCACCTTATCAGAAGAATTGTTCCCCTATTTTTTTTCTCTCCCATTTTAATATTAAATTAGTATTTTACTCATAGTTTGTCATTTCCTCCCAGTCTGCTTATCACACTGCAAATCTCATTAACATCTTATTAGTCGCCAACAATTCTTCTGATGTGTTGGCCAAAAAATGTTTACCTTTTAGGGGGAAAAAATATGCAGTTTTGTCTGTTTAAAACTATTTACAAGTTCTGTGGTATCAAACATTTATTTAAATATACATTCATACATACATACACATTATCACAACCAATATAGTAGTCTCTTCTGGTGACTGGGTAGAAATAGAATGTTGATGTATTAAATTTGAATAATTAATTTTTATTATTTAAGTGCAGTATATTTTATTTAGTTTATCTATTCAAACAGGATTGAGCTAAATGTTAAAAAATTAAATATTAATTTTTTTTTATTTCATACAACTCAATTTCAAAATTCTCGGCTAAATGTTGCCATAATTTTTTTGGAAAATATATATGAAATCTGATTGGTTCTTTTTCTATATCCTTCCAATTTCTCTTCATCTTTTGTTATCTTCTTTGACAGTCTTTTCTTAACATTCATTTCTTAACCTTTCAACACGTTTTTAATCTACAATTATTGGGGTGAAATTTTAAAATATTTAAAAATTTTTTCAGAATTTCAAACATTATAGTAATTTTGTAATGTGTCAGTGTGTCAATAAAAATCCTTTATCTTTTTTGTTTTCTCAAGATTTATTTGGCCACCTGCTGTGTAGGTTTTCATTGATTCTTATAAAAAGGAATTTTTTTCATAGATTTCTATTTTATCACTATTATTTCAGATTTTTCAAAAGAAAAAGATGGAAGAAAACTTGGGAGAAATAATATGTGTGTGTGTGTGTAACATTTTTTTTTTTTTTTTTTTTCCCCTGAAAATTCACTGTTGTGGAGAAAGATATGCCCACCATCAGAGAGCTGGTAATTTATTTTTAATTTTTTGTTTAGTCTTTCTTGAATAGAGTTTATGATAACCCTTGAAAATATTTTAATTAAAGGAATAAAATTAGATTTGGGGGGGACAATCTGAAATAATTTTCAAAATGTATGATGCTTTTTAACCCTTTTTGCTTGTCTTTAAATAATCTTTTTTATTTTTGCATCTCTTTTCACCCTCATTTGTCTTGCTTAATTTTTTTTTAATCAAAGGACAACTTGCTCTTTTTCGGTTATAAAGCCTCTTTTCTTTCAAATTTTTTCAGTTTAAAAAAGCACAGGTGAATTCATAAAAACAAAATCAATCAAACTGGTCTGAGTTCATCTTGTTTTTTTTAATTTTGTTTTTCAAATGTTTTCTTCATTTTCTTTTCTTCTAATCTTAATTTTTTTTTTCTCTTTTCAATTCATTTTTGTTTTTTTGAAACTTGTTCTCTCTTCATTCTTCTTTTTCTCTCTTCTTTATTTCTCTCTCTTTCTTCTTTTTTTCTCTTTCCTTTCTTTTTTTTTCTCTTTTTCTTTCTCTCTTTCTTTTTTTCTTTTTCTCTTCTTTCTTTTTTCTCTTTTCTCTCTTTTTTTTCTCTTTTTCTTTTCAAATTTCTCTCTCTTTTTTCTTCTTTTCTTTTTCTCTAAATTTTCTTTCTCTTTTCTTTTTCTTCTCTCTCTTTCTTTTAAATTTTCTTTCTTCTTCCTCTCTTTCTTTCTTTCTCTTTTTCTCTTCTTTCTTTCTTTTTTTCTTTCTCTTTTTTTCTTTCTTTCTCTTTCTTCCTCTCTTTCTCTCTTTTTTTTTTTCTTTTTCTTTTTTTCTTTTCTCTTTTTTTTCTTTTTTTTTTCTTTTCTTTTTTTTTTTTCTTTTTTCTTTTCTTTTTCTCTTTTTCTTTTCTTTCTTTCTCTTTTCTTTTTCTTTTCTTTTTCTCTTTTTTCTTTTCTTTTCTCTTTTTTCTCTCTTTTTTTCTTTTCTCTTTTTTTTTCTTTCTTTTTTTCTTTTTCTCTTTTTTTCTTTTCTTTTTTCTTTTTTTCTCTTTTTTTTCTTTTCTCTTTCTCTTTTTTTCTCTTTTTTTTTCTTTCTTTTTCTTTCTCTCTTTTTTTTTTCTCTTTTTCTCTCTTTTTTTTTTTTTCTTTTTTTCTTTTCTCTTTTCTCTTTCTTTTTTTTTTTTTCTCTTTCTCTCTTTCTCTCTCTCTCTCTTTTCTTTCTCTCTCTCTTTTTTTTCTCTCTCTTTTTCTCTCTCTTTTTTTTCTCTCTATTTCTCTTTCTTTTTCTCTCTTTCTTTTCTCTTTCTCTTTTTTTTCTCTCTCTCTTTTTTTTCTCTCTTTTTCTCTTTCTCTTTTCTTTCTTTTTTCTTTTTCTTTTTCTCTCTTTTTCTTTCTCTCTTTTCTCTTTTTCCCTTTATTTATTTAATTTTTTTTTGTCAGTTCAAATTTATAATTTATAATAACACACACACACACACACGGTATATATCTTTGGAAAATATTAAAGCAACATTTTTTTTTTCAATATCAATTTTTATATGACTCTTTTTGTGTACCATGATAGTGGGATGATATGTTCCTGTGACATTAGTAAAAATCTGGTGGTTAAAGGATTTCATATGCTTTTTTTAAAAATGTAGTTAATTACATTTTTCAAATCTTCCTTTTAATAAAAGGAACAATCTTGTAAGGCCAGTTGTTAAATGAATATGACGGCTTGTAATAAGTAATGTTGATAACTTCCCTCACCTAACTGACATTTGAGAAGCAATATTTTGGTTGTAAGTTTGTTCTATCACCAAGTCAAAATGCCATGAACATTTTTCTACTCGAAGATAAACCTGGAATTTTCAACTACCATAGTTTGAATATGGTTCTCTAATGTAAACTTATGGTTGGAGAGAATTGATATGTTTAACATTCTTGACTCACTTATGATATAAAAAACAAGGGATTGATTGATTTTTTTTTTTTTTTTTTTTTTATACAGCCTATAAACTTTTTGCGGTTTATTTAAAGCCAGAAAATACTTTCAGATTGTAAAAGTTTTTTGTAGATAATATTGATACAAGTCCTAGTAATTAACCCATAGCTGAGGGGGAAAAGAGGTGGATTCATACCTTTCCCAAGAGTATTTGTGTGTAAGTGAATTTAACAAACTCAACTGGAGCAGAAACTTGGCTCTCCGATTCTGAGCCATCCTGTATTATACCATCCACACATCCAAGCTTACAGCGCTTGGTATTCTCAAGCAGTCACCCATCTAACTACTGATCAGGGTCAATATTGCTTAACTTCAGTGACTGTATGAGAACTGGTGTTTCAATATGATATCGCTGTAAGCCAAAAAAAAGGGGAAAGAATTAATTACAAAGTACAATAGCAGTCAATATTCTGTCCATAGTATAAAAGATGTCTAATTTAGAGTTTGTATTATTAGATAGCACATTTGATGTCCTATAAACCTACTTCTCCCATTTCAGCTGAGACTATCAAGAAAAAGATTTTACTGATTTTATTTTCAGTATATAAATAAAACTGTAATTCACGCAAATGTTATAACTAAAACCAAAACACCTTGTAGTTTGTAGTTATTTGACAGAATTATTCTGAAAGCTACTTGACTAATTATAAATGTTTGACTTACCACTTGCTAAATATTAAAGGAAAAAATTTGTTAGGTGTTCAAACAACCTACAGTACAGATGACTGATTAAAGGCTTGATCCTTGGAATATGTACAAATGCTGACTCTCCAATAAACTTCTTTTATAATTAAGTTGCAAATTGGATTGGAAATTGCTTTATTCAAGTTGACACATTTTAATAGTATTGTGCTAACAAAAACCTCGCTATAATGTGCCAATTTGTCTGTTCTATTGGATCATTTATAATATAGATTCCATAAAATCAAGTCTATTAAATCTGTTATTAGTTTTTCATCACAACAAGGTTGACATGATTGCAACCCTTTATTTTATGTTTAACACTTTGCAATGGTATTCTCTCTCCATATGCTCTTCTACTTACAATAAGTTATGTTTTGATGTGTCTATCATAAAGCCCCAAAAATTGTAAATCAAATGACCCTGTTATCTTGAGTTCCTCTGCCAAGGGTAACAGCTTTGTTCCTCTTCTTTTCCCGACAGGCATAAGATGCACTTAGGCATTTAACAGACAGAGTAATGGGCTTTGAAAATAAGATAAAAAATTAAAAAAAAAAACACAGAGAAAAAAATTACTAATACAAAATTAAACACTGGCAAATGTTAACGGATGTGATCATAAGCGAGACTGGATGGATTCTGATACCTTTCCCCTGTATCACGAGGCCAATATGGCATCACTCACCTCTCCCTCCAAAATAAAAATAAAAAATAAAAAAATAATGTTTGGTAACTACTGAATGCCCATCATGATGACTACATGGTAAGTTCCAAAAATTAGGCCCTTGTAAAGTGAGAAGCAACTGTAACTGTTTATGTAATCATCAAAAAATAAAAAAATGAAAATTACATTTTTGTTTGGGGCATTGCTCTGTGGTAGACATTCCTTTTGGTTTTAATACATTCACCTTTCTGTACTCATCAATTTTTGCTATACATTAAGTGCTAGAATTAATGTTCTGTATTAAATATTGTCAGGTTTAACCCTTTAGCATTCAACCTGGCCAAACCTGCCCCGGAAATATTGGCTCTCAATGTTCAACCTGTTGTAAACCATTCCATGTATACTCTGCTGTAATATATGACAGCGTCATCACAAATAATGCAGAAAGTCATATAAACTGTGAGAGTTTCACCACAAACAGTGATACTTTGAGAGCTGATGTTTACAGGGTGGGTTTGAGCATGTTCAATGCTAATGGGTTAATTTTATGAAGGATGAAGATTGGATCAGCTGGAACGTTGGGGTTAGCAGAAAAAAGGATTCTATAAAGAAAAAATGGCCACAGAAAGAACCACTTCTATTCAGAAAATGGAAAAGACAGCTGAAATTCCTTGGACACATGGAGGGCCTGGAAAACTTAACCCTCATTGGGCATGTTGTGGGCATGAATGATAGGGGAAGGCAGCAAGTCACTTATCTGATGATATTGTGCAAATGGATGACAGAACAGAGGGCAGGGGTCTTAGCAAAGGGAGAAAAACAGCTAAGAGCTACACAAGAGAGAAAGTTGTGGAGAGCCACAATCACCTATGTCCTGAAGGGATGTAGCATAGAAGAAGCAAAGATTTGATCAGCCAAATAATATTGGATTGTATTATAGACATTTAGTAATTTCTGGCTTTAGCATTATTTACAATAGCCGAGTGGATTAAAGCAATGGTTTGTGAATTTAGTAATTATGAGTTCAATATCTGGACTGAGCAGTAACTGAGAAGTACTAAAAAGAACAAGGTGAGATATTCTGTGTCTAGAGATATCTCTAGACATGAACATCAGAATGAGGATATTAGTCTGACTGTAAATAATGTAGGCATTTACTAATTTTACCTTAGTTTGGTACAAGGCTATAAATGTAGAGAACATGTGAGGATTCAATGCATTATACTAGCTAATGGCGTGTTGAGTTAGCTTGCTAACCATTATTCTAAACAAGATACCTGATTTTTTATTTTATTTTTATTTTTTTAAAATTTGCATCTCACTTGTATACAAGATTTACAGCAATTCTCTTTTGGGTTGATTCAGGCATTGGGGATTACCTCTGATATCTCCTCTTTGTGCAATTGAAGAAGGTACCAGTTGGGATGATTATCCCTCCGGAGCTTGAACAGAGTAAATAATAACAACAATAATAGTAATGGCTGTGAGACAAATTTTTAAATGACTATGCTATAGCGAGGCATTTAGTTGAAATTTACTAAATTTTGTTTAGTATGGCACCAAGTGAAAATGGTCAATGTTCTGTGGGACAAGGTTGCTTACCACTGCACCATGGTATGATCCTAACTGGTTTATTACCAAAATAAACCCAGACTATGAAGCCAAATCATTGACAGTATTGAGGTAAGCATTCTATTTAAATGTAAGATGATGATTTGAATCACTGGTAAACAATCAAACTTTCTATCATATTTTCCATGTGTGCACATGTAATTTTTAAAAAGATTTCTTATTGAAATAAATTATTAAAAAGAAAAAAAAAATGTTTGCTAACAATGTTTTAATATGCAAAAGTAATTTTTATTTATTTTTAAACTAATTTGTATATTTTAAGATAATTAAAAACCAAATTAAAATTTCAAAAAAGATATTTAAATTGAAATTAAAATTGAAACAACATGTACCAGCCAATATTTGGGAAGGAAATTTTGATAATTTATATAAGTGCATCAATGTATCTGGGTCAGCTATAGCTAAGCATTAGTTAAATAATGGTCAGTGTGGCTAGTCCTGTAAGCAAAATATATTTTAGTACTGAGGAATTTCGATTTCAATTTAAAAACGATAAGCTCGTCTTAGAGAAAATAATTGGTGATTATAAACCAGGTTACATTTATGGAACCATAAAAACATACAAATGAAACTTTCCTCTCTGTCCTATTATATCTGAAATCCCTACTCCTGTTTATGAACTGACTGAAATCATTAACCAACTCATTACACCATACATCCCCAGTAAATACAGCATCAAATCAACTCTTAAATTAATCCAAATCCTTAAGGCACAAAAACCTGATAATGAAACCATAGCCTTACTTGATGTTGAAAATCTATTCACCAATGTCCCAGTTAGAGAAACGATTGACATAATTATAAACAATATATACAGCAATCCATCTCCCTAGCCATTAAAAATTACGCAAACTACTTTTGACTTGTACCACCAAAGTTCCATTCTTTGACCACAAATAACGATATATATGTACAACGTGATGGTGTTTCCATGGGCTCTTTAAAAAACCCGCCATCTACCTAAGATATGTTAACGATATCCTCATCTTAGTAAAAAAACATTGAGGAAATACATGAACTACAACATTAATTCCAAAAAAAGTCTGTCCTTAAATTTACATATGGACTTAATAATAATAATAAAACTCCTTTCCTTGATATATTGATTGACACCAATTATAATACATTCACTATCTCCTCATATAGAAAACCTACAAGCATAAACTTATGCTCTCTTAATAAGAGTGAATGCCCTCACTACTATAAAATAGCTATTCTACAAAATTTAATAAACCGCACTAAATTTAACTCATGCACACAAAAGATTTTCTACACTGAACTAAAAAACATTAAACAAACTCTTATTAATTGACTCGCCTAATTACAATGTTGATGAATAAATGAGACAATCTATTAAAAATCAAATAGAACATAAATGTTCTCAAATAACCCTAAACATATCAAGCTTTTATATCATAATCAAATGCATACTAAATATAAACAAGATAAAAAAAATCCTAAAAAAAACTCCTAAATACTAATATAAATCCCACAGATCCCAGTAAAAAAATAAAAAAATTAATTATATACTATACTAAATTTAATACAACTAACTTTATCATTCCTAATAACTCCTCCCCCACCAATTGATGTATTGCAGAAAACCTACACTATTTACAATTTAAATGTCCCTTGGGAGATTGCATCTCTGACAAAAAAGCTAATGAAGATGTTGGTCATTCTACAATAATGTTATCGAGGCAGCTCTGACTACATTTGCATGATTCGTTGTCCATTGCACAATATCTGTAAGAACATTCCTATCCACATTGACAATTTAGAAGAATATTAGTTGACAATACCTGTATACTTCACCAAGAACATATTAAGCAGAAACAACAAATTCTCAAAGCCATTTTTATTAAAAAAAAAAAGTTAAAACCAACACTTAACAAAATTATTAATATAGTACAAATGTTCTTTAGAAATATATACATTAAAACTAAAGAGTTTTTTTTAAAAACAAGCAAACTATAGCATCCTAACAAATTGAGTTCTTAACTAAGTTACCTCCCTTACATTGAAATGTTTACAATATGAAAAATTTAAAAAAAAAATCACTGTGACTTTGTGCATGACCGGAACTTCTTATAGTTTAACCATAAAAGCAAAAATTTACTTTAGGCGCACACAACTATTTGTCTTAGCTATCATAACCCTGAAGATTGGAATATATCGAAAGTACTCGGGGGTTGGGGGGAATAAAAATGAATAAATACAACTATGGTACTTTTCTTGCTCTCCTTAATCATGAAACAACAAAGCTTATATGTGATTACAAAAAGGATAGATATTGTTGAAAATAAACAAACACAACATGTCTAAATTGTTTAATCAGGTATGCTTAAATGAAAATAGACATCAAAAGGACTATTTACA